GCTGCCCCTCACGGGAGGGGGTGCTTGGTACCACTTGGTCCCTCGAGCCTCCCGGGTGCGGCCCCGCTCCCCCTCTTCCTCTCCCAGCCTGTCCCGGTCCCGTCGGGGTTGGAAACCTTTGGATCTGCGGCTCGGAAACCCCCGCTGAGCTGCACCCTGCGAGCGTGGCCCTCTGCTCGCTCGCCCGGAGCAAAAGGGGTGATGGTTCGATGTGCTGGCCCTTCTCAAACCCTGTGTGTCCCAACCTCAGCCTTCTGTTTCCCAAAACTAGAAAGTGTGTGCAACCTTCTTCAGCTGCATTTATCGTAGAGACAAACTTAAAATGACTCATCACAGACCATGTATCACTTGGGAGGAAAATCTTGTTAATATGGCCCGCTGTACATGATCCATCATGTCGATAGTACATAATCTTTGACCCATGTGCTAGGATCATCATCACATATAAAAGGAAAAGAGAAAAATGTAAAATACTTGAATGAGAGCTTGTATTATAACATTAATATTATTCAGAGTATCTGCTTTCTAGGCTGATGTGATTCATTATTCTAGTAATGCTTTAGTCCTTTGTAATTTGTGGTAATTATGCTTTTTCCTTTTTAATACAAAAAAAAATGTATAAAAATAAAAACTTCAAAAGACAATGCAGCCTGGGTTTTCTGTTCTGCTGCCTTGCCCTCCCCGGGGGGCTGTGGGGGATGAAGGGGCAAGAGTCCCGGCATGGCTCGAGGTGGGTTGCGTAGGTACTTAGCACCCCCACCTTCACGCACATCCCTGTTTGTTGGGCGCTTTCCTGCAGGGCTTCCCTGATCTCCACACGGGACAGCAGCGACATTCCCTGGAAAGTCTCTTTCCATAGTTTATCGTTGTACAGAGCTGCTTGGTTTGGTTTGTGCCTCCGTTCGGTCTGCGGGGAGCGAGACGAGGCTCAGCAGGAGGAGGTGGCGTACGGGGGCTTTGCCACGTGGCACATCAGCTCCCAGCTCTGCTTCCCTGGCCCCCGAGGGGGAAACGCGCTGTGTTTGCAGACATGGTTTGTGGAGCGGAGCTGAGGATGCGACAGCCCTTAATTCAGACCTGTACCGACCTCTTGCGTGAAGAAAAAACTGCCCGGGGAAGTCGGGCCTCTGCTGCGTGTGCAGGGGAGAGTGTTTCTAAAGCTGCAGCCCCACTGACTTTCCATGGGGTTGCATCCCGTATCTGAGGTGTTCCGAGTCTCAGAAAAATAGTGGTTTAATTCCTATCCTAGGTAGTTACCTTGCTGGTATTTCTATAGAATGCTGCTGAAGGAGGCCAGAGCGTGGCCTGTGAAAACTGAAGCGTTAAAACCGTAGTAAGGACTCCCCAGGACCTCCCCCAAAGCCAGGTGGCCCAGAACGCATCTGGCTTACGCGCAGGCAGCTAGAACCAAGGAATGGTGCAAGTAAGGAAGGAAAAAGCCCTCTAAACTTTGAAAATAGCAGGGTTTTTTGTGCCCTAGGTAGAAAATAAGAGGCAGCAAAAGTGCAGTCATCTCAAACAGCGTGTTTAAGTTCAGCTTTGGGTTTTGTTACAGGTGAACAATAACTCGTTTCCCAATTAAAATACTATTTGGCATAAATCATTGTCTCTCGCTCTGCAAGAACGGCAGGCTGCTGGGTTCACTCTGCCCTCTTGGGTGCCTCGGGGATGCTCTCGGAGAGTGGTGTCAGGCTGAGGAGGACCCTGTGTCTCTCGTAGGCTTTGGTTTGTTTGAACGCTGTATCCGTTCCATGCAGATAATCCAGCACTCCCAGGACTCCGTAGCACTGGTTGAACCTGGGAACCGAACAGAGAATAAACATCACTGGAAGTTACTGCGGTTGCCTCGCGCTTCCCATTTCCATCTCCTTCCAGAGCCCTGATCATCCATCCACGCGATTTCTGCCACTGCAGCCGTCTCCCTCGCCGCTCTAACGAAGCCTGGGTGAAGCTTCTCCGGCCGCTTCCCTCTCTGGTGCCGTCGTTACCCAGAAATGGCGGCACTGAACAGCCATCTCCCCAGGCAGCTCGGAGCAGCCGGACAGCCACGTTGCCGTGTCTCTGTGCTCCCGGGACCCAGCGGCCCCGGGATGCGGAGCTGCCGTGCATCCAGCACTGGGATGCCGGCACAGCCGTTCTGCCCAGAGCGCATCTCAGCTCTGCAGGGATCCGTGCCCTGGCATGAGCCGAGTTTCGGAGGAAATGACTGATAACGAGAACCGGCACCGTGCTTCGGGTGGTGACAGAGCTGCCACGCGGGCTGTTTCCACAGGAGAGGTAAACCGTGTTCAAGGGAATATGTCCATGAATTTAGTGCACATCTGGGAGACGGGAACGCTGCTTCTGCTGCTGTGGTATGTATCCCTAAACAACCTGCTGCAGCTCCGCTCTCTCCCGTGTAGGAGGAGGCTGGGAATCTCTGCCAGGAAGGGTTAATCGCAATTGTTTGGGCAAGGTGTTATTAATCCCAGGGTATGGGAAAGGGACAGACAGGGAGGCTCTCTGCAAATTTATTTCAGCTGTGTGACTTGCCCTTGCTCTATCTTTATTCTAGATCACGGGCAGTGCCTGCTGTACTTCTAGGAAGAGCCTTGCAGAGAACCGTCTCTGTGCTTGGCTGGGGAAGGTCCAGGTGATACCTGCTGCTTCAGACACTATGTGCTGTCTTCCCTCCCATGTAATCTTAGGAAACTTGAAACGCCCGGCCCCAGCTGCCGTGTTTGTGCTTTGGAGAAAGTTTCCAAGTCAGCTGATGGAGGAGGGTGGGTGGCAGCGCGGCGGCTGGCAGTTGTGTGGGCAGCGGGCCGGAGTCCTCCGAAATCCCGCTCTCTGTTTAACTGCTTCAAGAACTGGCAGCGTTCAGCCGCTATCGAGCGAACTGGGTAGGCTGCTCTGCTTGTACCCGAGCTACGCAAACCCCCGTGGCCCTCAGAAAGGAGCTTTGCCCCTCCGCAGCGCCCGGGCGCAGGCAGGAGGGGCAGGGGGGGAGGGTGAGCGGTGCCCAGACGTACTTGAGGTGGTGGAAGTCGTGGAACTCCGGCGACGGCAGGAAGGGCAGGTGGTAGCCGCAGTGCGAAATGCTTGTTGTTATGAGAGCGAGGGAGAACCACGCTGAGATTGACACAATATGAGACCCCATGATCATCGGGCCGGTCATGACAGGCAGGGTGTTGGAGAGCTAGAAATGAGAAGCAAACTCTACCTCATTAATCCATCCACAACAAGCTGACTCCTCTAGGAGCTGAGTTGTTTCACCCGGGTGATAGATCGCGTTAGTTTTGCGCAAACAGCATAAAGGGAAGACCCCTCTGCAAACACCTTACTAAAATTATGTAAGCATCAAAGAAATAATTTACTCTGAGCTAACTGAGTTTTACTCACCGCAAAACACAGTCGCAGCCCAGGCTCCCTAAGCTTGTAGTAGAGCTTTAGATGCGAGACCGAACCAGGGGTGCGAGGGCAGCGTCATTCCAGTAAATCACCCTGGAGTCAGAGGTCTGAATTTCAGCTTTATCTCGGAGCAACGCTGAAGCTGCTCTGGGACACCCAGCCGTCAACGGGCCCTGGCCCGGGGCCACGTGCAGCCACAGGCAGTGATGCCGTGACCCCAGCTGCATCACTTTGTTGTGTCCTACCAGTGGCACAAACGGCTGTCGCTGCCCGGGCTGAGCCTCCTGCCCCAGCTAGGCTCCCTGGGCTCTCGAATATAAAGTCATTCTGCTGCCCAAAGGCTGCCGGTTAGGGATACCGGCAGAGCTGGTGCTGCAGCCCAGCCCTGTGGGTACCAGGGGATGGTATGGAGAGGTGGAAGCTTCTGAAGGTGGGATGTGTTTGCACAAGAAGCCTGGGCTGGAGCAGCGCTGGGAGACTCCTGCGAACACTGATCCCAGCCACCAGCATGGAAATCTTGACAGAGTTCTGACTCCATGCAGCAACCTGGGTTGTGTAAGCGTCACAGCTCGTGCTGAAAGCCTCGTCCATGCTCCCAGCCCTCTCTGGGCACAAGGCAGCACCGTTCAGTCAGTTCCTAATCTGTTGGAGGCCCTCGGATCTGTGCTCTTAAAGCCAGTGGAGTTCAACACAAACAGGTACTGCAGCCCTCCTACAGCTGGGCTCCTTGGCAATGCAGCTTAGCTTTCTCTTCCCAAGAAAGAAGAGTCTAAGGGCACGTTTGCTTTTCTTCTCTCATCACTCCTCCTCAGCCCACAGAAATCACACTCCGCACAGCGACTGGGGGGGAATCCACTTACTATGTGTTCTACCGGGTGAGCATAAATGGAGACCACGCCGATGGGGGCTGTCCATTCGTGGTGCTTCTTGTGAATGTGCTTATACAGGAGTGGGAGGTGAACAAGCCTAAGGAGAGAAAACAGAGAAATGTAGGTTTTCAGCTCCATAAGAAGGGAACGTAGAGGAACCTAACAGAATTTCTGCTGGGGACTTGCTCGTGCCTCTTCTTTAACATAAAGATTTTAGAGCAGCTGGAATAGGAGCGTAGGACTCCTGGCTTCCCTCTCTTTTTCTTTAACGCAGGGCCCTCGCTTAACGTATGCATCCACTGACTGATGTTAAACTTGCATCCAGATAAATCCCGTAAATCAAAGTCCCTGAATGACTGATTTGCTCAAACCTGGGAGCACTTCTGACGGGAAGACTCGCTTTATATTTTCACTGTTTTGACTTTACATACTGGCAACTATTAGAGGCAGAATTTTAGATTCTGTGGGCCCTGAAGAAATCTGTTTTATGGGGTTTTTTTTGTGTGCGTTTGTCCAAAAGGGAAACCTACATAGTTCTGAAAATGCTGTGCTTGCTCCTGCACAGCCCTGCAGGCTTTTTTCTTCCTTGCTTTAGGTTTTGCCTTTAATGTTGGTGTCAGTGCTCAGAAAGCCTGCAGCGTCAGGAGCCAGGCCCTGTTTTGCAGGTGCCGTACAAGCGACCGGGAGATCAGTCACTGACCTCTTGAGCTTTTTTTCTTTCGGGATAGTCAGTCTTGTTCTCCTCTTTTTGAAGAATGTTGGGTTACAGCTTTTGTGTGAAGCTAGCTGTTCTGGTTTTTTTTCTTAGCCTCTAAGCTGCTCCACCTTTGTAATTTTACCCATTTTTGCTTACTAGAGTTACCAGCAGCGTTGCAGCACCCAAGCCTCGTGTTGTGAGCATGGATTCCAGGACCTGTGAGTCTTCCCACATAAATACAAGATTGGTGAAAGAGGTGGGACTAGGACCCTTGCGGTTGCAGGAGACAGGTATAAGCTTAAAGTCATGGGGGAAAACCAGAGAGTCCTGTTTCTGTGCTCAGCTCACCTGTGTGTATAATAAAAGAGAACTTCCTCTATTAAGGTGAAGATGCTTAGCTCCACAAGAAACCAGTGGAAGGTGGGTAATTCCTTGCTGAAGGTGTTGCCCCACCATTTCATGACGTAGAACATGGGGACAAGCATGGGCAAGGAGATAAAGAACTGATTACACAGCGCTGTGTAGATGGCTTGGCGCAACTTCTTTGTGTCCACCTGCAAAAGAGAAGTTAGGACTTGAGGCTACACCAGAAGCAATGTGGCTCTGAGTTGGGAGGATAAAGAGCTTAAAGATTCATAGGCTGTTTCTGTGTCAGTTTGGGGATCAACTTTTTAACAAGTTGGCAATCCAGATCTGATCAGTAGCCTAATTACAAGAACTGCCTTCCTCTCTGCAGCGGATATACAAGACTCAGTTTGATTCTCCTTGAATCCTATCTGGTTGTAAGAGAAAAGCGTAACGGGTTCTTCTCCCCGCTCCTAGCCTAAGAGACTGGAGGAAGTGTTTAGCCAGCAGAAGAGGCAGAGTGCGAAATACTTACAGGATCGTTCTTGCCCAGCTGAATGCGATAGCGAGTAATGAACGTTGGCTTCCCTGTTACATCAGCCACCATGAGGATTCCATTGAAGCACCAGAAAGCGAGGCTAGGAACCAATGCAGCTCCTGTGGCATGGGGAAAGGGCAGAGATGTGTGAATAAATTGAGAGCTATGGCTGAATCGGAAACAAAATACAGTGGCATAGTATCCAGAGGACCTTGCCGGGATCCAGGTGTGCCAGGTGCGTATCCCCTGCCCTGAGAGGCTTTAAAATGGAATATGGGTAGGTTCTGACACCCGGGTAAGACCTGGGGAATGGGGAGGAGGTTAGAGTGGACAAGTGTCTTGTAGGTTGAAACTTGGCACAACTGAGGCTAAGAAAGGGCTTTTCTGGGAGGTTGGGGGATCTCTGTCATGGGTGGGTTTTAAATACAAGTTGGATCAGGTCAAGTTGATCCCTGGGACCTTTGACCGTCCCTACCAGCCCTGTTCACCAGCTGTTAATCACAGGCAGGGAAGAGTTTTATAGGTGCTACAGCAAGAGTAAAATTCACTAATTTTAATTTTCAGTAATTAGTTCTACTGAGTCAGTTCTCACAGGAGCAGAGAGTGTGTTTTCAAAGGGAAGCCATTGCAGCAGCAGCAAAAAGATCAAATTTTCAGTCTGTATAGGGGGCCTAATGATGCACCAAGGGCAGCACAGTTGCACTACATCAGCTGTGGCTGGCTTTGAAGCCTACATGTGCTTTTTCAGTGGGAGGATTAGCGAGTTTGGGAAGGCATCTCCGTGTCCCCCTTTTAGATGGAATTCATGGATAGTTCCTCCTAGAGCTGAGGGTTGTTAACCTGAGTAACTCACCGAGGAGGAAGATTGTCCACTCCTTTCCCTCAAACCGGTAGTAGAACTTCAGCCATGCTGTTTGCCAGAAATGCCCTGAAGTGTCCCAGATACTCTGCACGTACCTGTGGGAATAAGTGTTCTTGGTTGCCCATCTTTTCATCATCCACTTTTTCCCCTCTCCGCAGAAAAGTTTCTCCCCAAGCCCCTTTGTTCGAACAACCTTACCAAGAAACAGAGTTCACTAAGGCAGTGAATATGAGCAGGCCTGTACCAAGGGCACAGGCAGCGATCTTCAGGGCATCCCAGAGCTTCTTTTCCTGTGAGCAAGCAACAAGAGTAAGCATGTGCTGCTGTGTCCTACGCTAGCATTTTTTGCATCTATCTGAAATGCAGGAGGTCGAGGCAGTCCTATGATGGCCCGTTTTGTTTCACAAACGCTCTAAAGAATGTAATAACAAAGCTGTTATGGGATATTGGGTGTAGCTGAGGTGGGGAGTACACCCACATCCATCTGCCATGTCACCTGAAGTGTCACTGACATGGAATTTCTCTGGAATAACCACAGGGAGAGAAAGGACCACTGATTATTTTTCCCCCTCCCCATGTTTATTGGGCAAGCTTCTTGGTACCTGGAGGACTATAATATAAGGGGCTTCTGGATAACTCGGAGCAGTAGGCATGGAAGACCTGGGGGTAAGGAACAGTGCTCCATCTCAGTGCTTCCCTCACCCTACCAGTATATTCTCCCTCCCAGTATGTAGTATGCTTTCTCCCGATGGTAGTCAGGAACTGTTGTGCTCAGATGCGCTGATTAACAGCTCCAGTTAATCCAGAACCACTCCTCTCAACTTTCTTCTTTGCTCTGAAGACCGATTCTGAAGTCAGGCTCACGTGCCCAGAAGCTTGCCTTTTCCCCCCAGGTGTAACAGAGGTTTAATGCAGGATATTACCTTTCCTTGCATAATTCGCTCTGCTGTGCCTTTAGGCCACCACAGGTACAACTCAGCTCTAGTACTGAGAGTACAACTTGGCTAGTAGGTACCATGTGCCATCTGTATAGAACAACTGCACATTAACAAGGAGCTAAAATACTCAACTTTTCAGAAGTATAAAGTTCTCTAAATGGAAATGTTATCTACTAAAGAAATACTCCTGGGTACGGCATAAGGGCACCTGTGATGTTAGCATGACTTTTATCACAGTGAGGATTTTAATTACACAAAGTAACTGCAAGAGGGTCAGAAAATTACCAGTAAGACCTCTTGATTCCAGGAGTAACTATATTCAGAAAGCAGTATTTGAGCATTTAAATATTCAAAAACAAGTTATTTATCAAATATATGACAAACATTTAATTAACTATCTGTCTTTTAGAGCAGCCCAAATTGGAATTGGCTGTGGAGTGCAGGAATCTTAATTTGGGTTTTACTTGGTGCATATGTATTACATTTATCTGCAGGATAAATGATTAAAAAAGTAATCAATGCAATTCGAAAATAATATTGTGTAATAACCAGCTAGTGTCTTGTTCATTACATTGGGGTGCTGTGCTGCAAAACCAGACTGGAGTAAAACCAGTATGATTCATAGTTGCCGTCCTGCCTGTCTCCTGTCAGAGAGGACAAACAAGAGAGACAGCTCGCTAATAAATGTCGAATGCAGGTGTGTTTAGGGTCACGCAATGTAGAGGAATCCTCTCTACACGGCTTCCAGTGCTAAGAGCTTCTTTAAGATTCTGTAACAGCTACAGAGTATTAAACATCGCCTGGGACTTGTCAGCAGTATTTATCTGTCCCAGGACAGAACTTTGCTCATTAATACTGAAACTTTCCTCATTAAAACAAACAAACGTTTGCTTCTATCATATCTTTTTTTTTAACCAAGTTAGCAACTGGGGAGGAAGTAATTTAAAGGACTCTTGCCCTATAGCTTGATGTTTGTGAACCCTATGGGTTTATATTAGAAGCAATGCAATCAGTTGCCAGCATTATCGCTGGGTGTACTGAACTACAAATGCAAGGCTGGCGAAAGCCATCTGTTCCAGCTTCGGATAGCGCACGTGGGATTCTGGGCTGGAGATTTGCTCTCTTAGCAGTTTCATACTTCCAATTGCATCCATGTTATGCCTCATGTATGCTGCCATGAGATAACTTTCTTAATCGTTAGACCCTGGAACACCATCTACATATTCTTTAGAAAAAAGGTTACAAAAGCTATAAAAAGCTTAGAGCTTTTTAAGAGAATCATATCCTATAAATCCTTGTTTCTCCTGGGCTGAAGAACGAACATACCAAAGAAACACTCTGATGTCCTACAAGTGTCAGAGTTTTTAGTTAGATCAAAGAGTATTTCAGGTTCTTTAGCACCTTCCAGCTGAAGAACTCAAAGAATTTCAAAAACTATTAACTCCTGATACTCATCAGACACTGTGTATGTCCTGCTTTGAGACAGGACAGAGAGTAGCTAAAGCTCAGCACTTAAGCTATTTTAAATGCCCTTTGGCTAGAAACTGTCTTGTTTTGAGGCTGCGTTTTCATTGCATGTGCTGAAGTGATTACATGAATGAATCCCACACAGTATAATTACATGAGCTGTAGAAGCAGAGACGTTTACATAGGGAAAAAAAGAAGTCTCGTTCATCAAGCCCAAGTGTGAACACCCTGTTTCTCTTCATGCCAACAGCCCCAGCCCAGTAGTTTCCAAACTCTGATCCATGGATCACTTGAGATCTTGCCCTTAAAGGGCTTGTACAAGTTGGCAAATTCCTTAAGCGCAGAACAGGGTTGCTGCCTGCAAGGTAAAGAGACCAGGGCACATCAGCTGGGAAAGCATACTGTTTAGCAGGACCGCTTTGAGAACTGGGCCCAGTTAGGTGGCACAGCTTCTGGCTACAGTCGAGTGTTGTGGTCTCTTGCCACACAAGCAAAGATAAAAGGCCCTGCACCACTTGGTGCTGTAGCTGCAGTCCACTGGAAGGGAAAAAATGCTGGGAAAATGTTGCTGTAGTGATAAGAGATGAGCTCCTACTTGTGCTAAAGTGGTCAGAGCGTGGATGTGTCTGTCACTTCTCTTAGAAGATGATTCAGCACATCCAGTCTTCCAAAGCACCTGCATAACACGTTCTTTAAAAGATGACCTTGAGCCTTTACCTGCTTCTGCTCCTCAGCCATGGTGGAATATCCAGAGTCTCTTTTCATCTGAAATAAGAGGTGATCTAAGTAAGTGAACCTTGTACAGCTGGAGAGTGGAAGAATACACTGCTGACAACAGCAAATCCCCTCAACTTTGAGCTCAGCTGCAAAACTGTAAAATATTTACTCTGTGCTCTGTCCTGTCCTGCCCCCTCCTTCACGCTGGCCATGGAGCAAAGCTGGGCTCTTGAGAAGACAAATCCCCTTATTTCCTGATGAGTTAGTATTGTCTCAGAAGACTAACAGGGATGCAGGGGTGACACAGAAAAACGGGAGAACAGCCGAAACCACAGCTTTTGATCGTGGCACTGGTGTGTCGTGGCACGGCTGCCTCCCTTGATCTGGCCCAGAAATACACTGTGCTCAGGAGGAACTGCAGCCCTTCAGACTGCAAGGAAATGACGGTATGGGACGTGCGCTCTTCCATGGCATGCTGTTCAACTAACAAGGATGAAAACAAAAATCCGACTACAACAATGTGAGTTTGTGCCACGAAGAATTAACACAGTAGAGCCTCACACAGCCTTCACTCACGTGGCAGAGGAACTGTAAGAACACGGTAAGTGAGAAAATCATCTTTACTTCAAGTCCTGCTATGGTCAGTTTGAGCCTTTAAAGTCCTAAATGGACAGGTGGCCACCTCGTAACACATCTCCCTGCATTTGGCTCTGGCTTGACTATTTGTTGCCGGCTTTGGTAAAAAAACCCTATCAAACTCAAGGTTTAAGTAGGTGCTGGGGCTTCACTGCTGTCCATGGCCATGGAAAGATCTCTGTATTTCAGGATGCACTGTGGCTGTCCTAGGGATTATTGAGTCGCTGTTTTTATATTGCTGCTCTCTTATCATAAATTATAATTAGCAAAAGCTAACAAAACATTCCTTAAGGTGTTCTTGGTTTCATCCAGTCTTTAAGAACAAACACGTGAATTCTAATAATATGAAGGCCAGATTACTGAGGATTGCCGAAGTTAATCCATTTCGCTTTTCATATGCAGAGGAATATTCAAGCACCGGCAAACTATGTTACCTAAGATAAAAAGGAAAGTACAAAGAAGGTAGAAAGGCACCTGTCTAAGGTACAAAGGAAAACAGTTGGAAAATTATTCATTAGAAAGATGATATTCTATTACCTTTATGATGCTAGCAAGCCTCTTGGGAGTACTCTTCTTGCAGCGTTTCAGGAAGGAGGAATACACTGCCAAAAAGAAGTCCCCGTATTAGCCAGGAGGTTATACTTTAGCTTTGAAATGATAGCTTTATGGGTTCATTCTTACAAATGCAACTCTCTATCTACCCTTGTTTTCAGCTTTGCTTCCCTACGTTACACGTTAGTATGCAGGCCAAGGGGCACGAGACAGAAAAATTGGGGACCTTCTTCCTGCTTGGGTTCCTGCTGAGGACAGAAAAGGACAAGGCCAGTCCACCTAACTATGTACTTTAGTGGACGAAACTGATGTTAAACGGTTCTGAGGAAAAAAAAAAAATCAGGCGAAAAGTGATTTGAAACTTGAAACAATGAGCCCGAACTCCCAACCCCCTATTTCGACACTAGGGTTGTATGCACTCCTATGGGAAACGCTAACTTTTGGTAGCAGCCTTAAAAAAAAATAAACAAGTTAACTTTGTCTCCCCTGGCCAAAAAAAGTAGTTTGGGAGGTGCCCTAAGGTGCTATTGCTTAAAACGAGAATGTGTTAAGGAAGTCACAGTGTCCTAGGACTTCTCCTCTTTCCCCAGATCCGGAGCTCCTCGCTATTAGACTTTGTGAGCTACTACAGCCAGTCTATGAGATCTTCTGTATGGTTTTTTTCTCCGCTATACCCAGTTTGCCAACCACGACCTTACTGAAAAAATATTGTTGGACTCTAACATATCTGATCAAGAATACCTATAAGTAGCAATCACAAATAACCTGCTGGCCTGAACAGAACAGCGTAAATAACTTGCCACAGAACAAATTAATTTCATCTTCATTTCCAAACCACCTTCTGATCACAACGATGTGTTTTATCTTACGTTACATGCCCTATACGCCCATCTTGTCACACAGCTCCTCTCAGTGTAGGTGTGCCCACTGTCTCTAAGGAAATGCTACTGATGCTTGAAATACGTCAAGCTTGAATAATCCATTCCTTTTTGAGGCTGGCCGCAGTACTGAGCCCTGGGGAACACCACTGGTGACCGGCCACCAACTGGATTTGACTCCATTCAACACAGCTCTTTGGGCCCAGCCATCCAGCCGTTTTTTTACCCAGCGAAGAGCACGCCTGTCCAAGCCATGAGCAGCCAGTTTCTCCAGGAGAATGCTGCGGGAAACGGCGTCAAAGGCTTTACTAAAGTCCAGGTGGGCAACATGCACAGCCTTCCCCTCATCCACTAAGTGGTCACCTTGTCATAGAAGATCAGGTTAGTCAAGCAGGACCTGCCTTTCATAAAATAAATTTCACATAAATGTGACTCTGCTTTGAGCTTTTAGGAGGAGAAAGAGCCATTCCTTGACTGAGTCTCATATTCTGTGAGTTTAGGAAAGAGTTAAAATTATAATCACATTTCTAGTAGTACTCCTTTTAAAATAATTAAATTATGATAGAAGTCTTGCTTGGACAAAGACATCCAGTTCGAAACAGTACTGCCACGTCTGCTTACCTCCCTCTCCCCCAAAATCACAGTACACTACCTTTATTAAGTCACATTTACAGGACAAAATTTTATGTTATTTACATTAGAACAAGATAAATTTTGATGGATTAGGTTTTCCCCAGCATCTCATTACCTACTCTTTGTTTGTTGGATAATGTCTCTTCTGATTCAGAATGCACCAAATACATTAAAAAAGCATTCGTGTAACCATGGCTGTTTCGGCAAACAGAAAAGCTATTCAACTGCTTGGCACTGATCTCACGTTGGCAAGTTATACTGCCCTGAATCCACCAGCAAAGATCTCAGCTGCCTGCAGCTATTTCCAAATATTAGCTAGAACTGGTGCTTTTTTTTTTAAAAAAAAAAAAAGTTCCTTTTCAGTTATTTCAAATTAGTTAACACAAAATTTGATCCAAACCAAATTCTCAACCCTAAAGTGAAAGTAATTGTTTTTCCAATCAGTCTCGTGATGTTAAAGGGGAAACATACACCAGTCAATAAAGAATTCTAATACTTTTTATTATTATTATTTCCATGTACTTCCTCGTTTGTCCAACAACTGTTCATTAAGTCATAGACCTGTCTTCACTGAATTTTCCCCTTCAGGTATCAGAAAAAGCTAGTTTGTCTAAGTCATGTTTTAAAATGCTCAACATAATCTGAAAAGGAAAGAACTACCAGATTTTTTACATTTGTTTTAACATTTACTTTATTATTTACGTCCCACCTCTGCTGTCCCCTTACATTTCTGCTGCCCAGTCAGTCCCAAGCTGAGGCTGCACAAGCGCCCGCTGCTTCTTGTATTGTACCCAGTATTGGATTTTATTCTGTCTTTCTTCTGACACCAGCCACGTTGTCCTGCTGCTGGCAGGCGCAGCTGAGTAACAGGGTACGTCTGCTGCGATGGACGGGCTGCCCACCACAGTTTCTTGGTATTCCTTTTTCCCTCCTGCTTGCATCTTCTGTTGTAGACCTTACTTCAGTGGAACCAACCTTTATAGTGCACTGACAGTGGAAAACAACCGCGCCTGAGAGAGAAAAGGCTACGACTATCCGTGAAAGTACAGAATGTATAGAAAGGAAAACGTAAGGACAGCTTACCTGGTCACCTGAAAAGTCGCACATCAGCCACGCTGTGCGGACAGACACAGGGCTAGACGTCGTGTTTGGTGGATGTCCTGCTGTGCCAAGCACTGCACCGATCCGAAAGCAACCACAGTTCCTAGAAAAGCTTACAATCGTACTTTAAACAGACACATGACATCATTGCCTTTTAATTATTTCCTCAAAGTTTCTAGCAATCATATCTCTTCAAGCTACTACACCCCTGAACTCTGGCTGCCCATTCTTTGCTCACCTCCTGCTGATGGCAGCTTAGGAGAGGTCCTTTGTGTCTATTCAGAGCCCAGAGTTCAACTCCTCACCTTTCAGGACTGCTGTGGAAGCTTTGTGAGGGTTTAGGGAAAGGCGGCGGGGGTGTTTCCAAGCAGGAGCTGGCTGTCCCCTCCCAGACGAGTCATGTGAAGCCGGTGCCATGTCACTGTCAGTACTGGCAGTCTTCCCTGTGCATGTGCGCATGCTGTCACTCAGTTAAACGTCTGGCGTGCATCTCTGCAGGTAAGAGCTTTTCATCAGGAGTTAATGGCTGTATCTGAGAATAAAAAAAGCCACGTACGCCTTAAAGATAAGTAGTCTTTATAATGTGCTAACTCATGTTTCGAGCACAAAATGTTTAGTGCCAGTGCAACCAAACGGGTCAAAGGTGTATTTGTTAAAAGAGGTAAGGGTTACTGTGGAATTTGGCAAAAAACCAGCAGTCCAGTTTTCATTGTGTTGCACTAAATCTATAAATTACAGCAATGCTGTTGCTACATAGTGTCCTCAACCAGTTACAGGAACTGGTTCCATCTGTTAGGACAAGATGCAAACAGGTTAGAATGTGCTTGGGCTCAGTTGTCTTTAAATATGAGGTTTACAGACCATAAAGTCTGTAATTATGATATTGCAGAGAGCAAGATGCAACTTGCAGTAGTACTGGTCTTTATTATGCAAATGTGGCCCCCATCGGTGTTACCTACCTAGTATACAGTGCCCTATTTGAACTCAGCTCTGAGAATTGAGGGTGTTACTCACCATAACTTTCCAGATTTATGTTTCCCCACAAGGAAAAGCAAGGAATGTCACCTGCCTCGGCCTGCTATGGCCGCTCACAGGTGAAGCAACGCAGGCTCTTGTTCGGTAAGCGGCATCTCAAGTGAGCAGCAGCTGGAGTCGCAGAGAGATCGGCAAACACGAATAATGGTGGTGCCTCGTTGGCTGTGCCTGGATTCTCGTACCCACCCCTACATCTGTATTTTTATCAGTTAACTTTTTTTCTGGATGGAGAGTATTCCCAGAATTCCCCTCCCAGCCTCGCGCTGTTTGTCCTCTTAGTGCGGTAAACACTCACTCTTGCTTCGTTTCTGATTTAAGACTGCGTTACTGTTTTCATTGACACTTTCTCTTGACCAATCCTAGCTATTCCCTAGTGGGGAAAGAGTTTGTAACCCCTAGCCATCGCTACTACTTGTTATTTATCGTAGACAGCAGACTCAACAGGGAGGAATGCAATTCCTTCAAACTGTTTACACATGTGGAGAGGAGGAAGTGGAAACTGGCATTTCAAGAGGAGTGCCACACGAATGTTGTCCCGAGCTGGTCTTTACTTGAACTTGAGCTTGCGCTGGGTGGACTGTTCATCCAATAGCCAAAAGTGGGTGATAAGCCAGTGAATTTCAGAGACCTCAGTGTTTCTTTCTAATCGCTGTTCAGTTCCGACACGGGTTATCTCTGAAATATTTATACCCAATAGGAACAGACAGCTCAGCATATTTGTCAGGAGGATGTAAACGCAATTTACCTTCTGCTGCAAGTCCGTACCTAGCGCAGGTTGGCAGTAATCTAAAAGCTGCTTCTGTCTGTTGGCTAGCCTGTGCCCTGCACTGGCGTCTTCACCACAAACCCTCCAACGCTGGTGCAATCTCTGCTGAGGCATGCAAGAAGTCTGATTTCTTCTCAGCAGAAAGGCTTTTTGACCAGACACTTCATAAAATAACTTCTCTTTGTTCACTCTCCACAGTTTTTGTAATAGTCACTGTCCGTTTTGCTGTTTGAAAAAAAACATTAGGAGGAGAAAATCTATGAATTCTCTTTCAGGATTGTACAAACCCACACTGATGGCTCCTCTAACGTCGAAGAGGAATCTGAACTTAGCGCACCTCCCCTAATCATTAATTCCCTGCATTCTGAACTGTATTTCTAACCATCTGCCAGGGCACACGTGTGCCACCAGCTCGTACCGCAGCCGTACGCTTTTGGAAACATCTGTGGAGCAACGGAAGGGTTAGGAGAACGTAAATGACGGCCTTGCCCTTACGGTTCAAACACGTCCAGCAACGGTTGCATCTTTTAACTCTCAATTCACGTGTTACGATTTCCACAAGTAGGTTTTCTACCATTCGTGGTGCCGTTACTAAGCCCTCAAGGAAATGCACAACTGTTAGAACGAGGCACAATCCGGGACGTGCAGCTCAAGCTGACTAACGTGAAAAGGTTGAGCTAAAGCCCTCTCTGGCACCGTAGGATGTAGCAGGTCTGCAGACACACACTGTGTTACTGTGGTCTTAACAGGACCATACAGAGGTGTGAGGACTCTTCAGGAACCTGCTTTGGAGTGCTGGACCTGGAAGCAAGTTTGGTAACTTCCAAATACAAGAACTATGGGACTTTTTTAAAGAGCAGGGTGCCTTTTCCAGCTATTCTTCATCTCTGTTAGCCACGATGAGAATTAGCCATGATTGAGGAAACACATTCTGATCTCCTTGAGCAAAATACATTTCCCGCTCTCACCACTGGTGCTTGTAAACATCCTCGAATAGCTTTTTTTTAAACTATAGGCAAACATTACAAGCATAATTTATCACAAGTGATTATTTCCTGCAATACATTTTTTATTAGAGTAGCAAGGCACACATATTTTCGGTGTCCTGAGAAGATGCATCCTCCCTTTTCCCTGGATACAACGCACCTTCAAGTGCCGGGTTTATGAGCATGAAAAATATGTATTTTACTCTGAACTCTTTAGGGGGAAAAAAAAAATATCTAATCTTGTATCTACAGAGTGCTGTAATCTAACCTGCTATATTTACCTGCTAACAATGTATGTTTTCTTGCACAAAATCCCAAACTCAAGTGACCACGGGAAGAACGGTGATTACTTTCTGCCAATCTAGCATATTGCATAATATATAAATTATGCAACGCAGGAGACTGCAGAGCTGAGAAGGCAAAATGGTAACTATCACCTATGAAGATAAACATCATCTATGAAGATAAACTTTGAATCAAAATAACCTTCAATAATGGGATGTCATAAGATGCTGACAGCACAAAGGTCACTTGATAGAAGTACTTGGAAAAACATCTCCTTTTCTAAAAGTTATGTTTCTGCTGAGGTATGAACACCAAAGCTGAGGCACCGAACTATGTCTGAAGTGTAAAAAGCACCAAGACTTGTTTTTCCAGATACTTGTATCAAAATGGTAGGCAAGGAGCTGACATTCAGTGAGAAGAAAGACTCCGAAATGGTTGGCAGGTAACAATTCTGCAGCAGTACCAGAACTGCGGTATTTTGTAAGAGATGCAACCCTGTCCAGAAGGCTGGCAGTCTAAAAGAAAGGAAATACTATCTAAGTTTAATTATCAGTAGACAAGCTTCCAAATAAACTCAGTATCTGCCATCAGCATCAGCCAGCAAAGCACGTGTTGGCAGCTATGCTACTCAAGAAGTTATGTTATGCTGCTTTACCAGATACAAACTTCTGTTGCTAATGTAATTTAAATAGCATTTCTGGAACAGGAGAAGTCAGCCTCAAAGTGTGCAGACACAGTAGGTACTTGAACAGCAACTTCCAAGGCAGAACTTCCTCAACTAACGAGGTGGCTGCGCACCGCAGCGTAGGAGCAACTCGTGCCTGGAGAGCAGCGCTTTGCCCTCAAGGCCTCGATAAATGCACCCTCGTCCTGCCCCGCGCCGTGGCTGGGTGAGCCCGTGGGAAGACTCGCGCCCCGCAGCAGCCCAGGCCCGATGGAGGCCGCAGCCGAAGGGGCCCTAGGTGAGGGAGGGACGGGTGCTGTTTCTTTTGGGGACGTTCAGCCAGGGCCTGGCACTGTCCCCGTCCCAGGCGACCGGGCTGCTGGGGGCTCCCCAGGCCGCCATGCTGGCAGCCCGCCGAGCCTCGAGGCCCCTGTCCCCTCAGGGAGAAAAGGGCACCCACCTCCCTTATCCCCCCCCGTCCGCGGACTTTGGACTCGCCCGCCGCCCCCAGAGCCGGGAGCCCCGGCGAGTCCAC